GAGACGGGGAGGCCAGTGACAATCAGGACATTCCGTGTGAAGTCTTGCCGCCCCGCCCGCGAAATTTTTTTTCCCACGAGAGTTCCGGACCCCAGCCAATCAGCGCACTCCATTTCACTCGACTTCTCGAAGCAACAATGTAAAATTTATACACCCTAACCCTAACCCTAAACCTAACCCGAACCCTAACCTAACACTAACTATAATCCAACCAGGTTCGTCTTATATAGACACCATATATTCAAAACACTAATCTGTGGTGGTCCGGAACTCTCGTGGGAAAAAAAATTTCGCGCCCCGCCCACCACGCCCACAGGCATTTGGAGGTCGTTTCAATAAAATATAATGCTAAATAAATACGAAATCTATTACTACCAAAGTTTAATGTTTCTCTACTCTCTTTCGCCTATTATTGCCGACAATTTCCTGTAAATCTCCCGTGCAAATTCTCTCTGAAACACATGTACACCGCGCGCACGCTGCCGCACACTGACACATATATATATTAGAGTGCGCGCGGTGTACATGTGTGTTGCAGAGGAGCATTTGCACGGATTTACAGAAATTGTCTGGCAATAATAGGCGAAAGAGAGTAGAGAAACATTAAGACTTGGTAGTAAATAGATTTCGTATTTATTTAGGCATTATTATTTTATTGAAACGCTCCAAGTGCCTGTGGCCGCCGCCGTGGTGCACTCGTGCTCGGATAACTAACCTGCTACTCTTACAGGGAGAGAGAAGATGTTTCTATCTCGTGATGTGGTCGGGAGGTGCGTATAAATCACTGTTGGCAGGAGTGAGATAGTGACAGGACGTGAAACTATAATGATGTAGATAAGTTGTCGTACTCTGTCTGTTATTATTATTACACGGTAATTGCAATGACAACGTTGCTCAGCGAATAACAGAACGCTTGGGTTTCTAATTACATCGAAATGTTCTCCCTCCCGTCTGTTATTATTACGAAATCACAAGTAATTTTATAAAACAGAATAGCATAACAGAAGCCGAAAGGCTCCATAATGATGTAGAGAATTATGACATGATGTTCTGTTGTCGTCTAACTCCTGTCATTATGTGGCGTGTTATTACGTGTTCCTGATTACGTGACGTTATTACGTGTTCCTGATTACGTGAGCGTAGTTTGTTGTTTTGTTGGTTGGTGCTAACTGGTGTGGTGGATGCTGGTCGTTCCTTCTGTCGCGCGTGTTATTGCAGTGACAACAACACGAGAGAGAGCAGAGAGAGAGAGAGAGGAGAGAGAGGAGAGAGAGAAAGAGAGAGAGAGAGAGAGTAGAGCGTCTGAGACTGGATGCGGTAACGATTTTAGCGTCCTTGCGTTATCGAACGGAAAACTATTTCTCTGCACTCTCTCTCTCTCTCTCTCTCTCTCTCTCTTCTCTCTCTCTCTCTCTCTCTCTCTCTCTCTTCTCTCTCTTCTTCTCGCTCGCCTCTCTCTATCTCTCGTCTCACTCGCCCCTTCTCTCTCTCTCTCTCTCACTCGCCGCTCCTCTCTCTCTCTTCTCTCGCTCGTCTCTTTCACTCACTTTTGTTCGCCTCGCCCTCTCTCTCTCATCTCTTTCTCTCCTTTCTCTCTCTCCCCTCTCTTTCTCTCTCCTCGTTTTCTCCCCCTCTCTTTCCTTCTTTCTCTTCCTCGCCGCTCACTCACACACACACTCACACACACACACACACTCACACACACACACACTCACCACACACACACAACACACACCACCACACACACACACACACACACACACACACACACACACACACACAAACGACTAGCGCTCTCGCTACTGTTGTCACTGCAATCATCAGACGCGGTCGTCTAGAAAAGTCCAACCCGTCGTCGGGCGACAACAAACACCGTCTCACAAAACTAACCTCCTCTCGTCTGCACCCTGCTTCCTCGACGCTAGCCTGGCAGCCCAAGCGAAGCACGCTGCACCAGTACGTCGAGGTGGACCTGGGAGCGACGAGGAACGTGCTGGGCGTCGCCACGCAGGGTAGCAAGGACGCGGGCGGCTGGGTGTCGCAGTACGAGCTGCACTACAGCGACGGCGGCAAGCGATTCCGTCCCTACAGAGTCGCCAGCGGTCAAGCGCAGGTGAAACGCGTCCGCGCGTCGTCGCTCGCGCCCTCTACCGTCCCCAGCTCCTCCGTCCGACGCACGTCTGCATGCATGTGTCTGTGCACGATGTAGCGCCCTCTAGTTGTTGGTGTTGTGTCTGCATGCTCGACCTTATATGGCCACTGATTATTTACGCGTTTGAATTTTCACCGTGTGTGCGTAGCGAAGCCCCCCATACACTATATGTGATATGATATTATGCTGCAAATAACGCGTCAAATGTCACCGCCTAGCTTATATAATAGGTTAAGCTTCAGTTACATGTCACCCTAGTCATATGTATGAATATTATATTTATATATTTATTGATATATATATATGTGTGTGTGTGTGCGTGTGCGTGTGCGTGTGCGTGGGCGTGTGCGTGTGCGTGTGTGTTTGTGCGTGTGCGCGCGCGCGTGCGTGCGTGTGTGCGTGCGTGTATAGCGTAGTTGGTTTGTTAGCTTGTTGAATGTTCGTGTCAGGGGCTTCTCTTAGTGCCGCGTAGACGGTATCGCATCCTTCATATAATAACCTAGGCGGTCGTGGCTCCGGAAGACCACCAAAAATACCAGGCCCGTCTCCAGTAATTGGGGGTGGGTGCAATTGAACCACTGAGGGATTAAGACGTAAAACTAGACGTAGAACACTCGCAGTAACCACCAGTACTAGTGTCAGTCAGCAACGAGTCCGGGTCGGCTTAACATTGTAGCTTGGCGTAACTGACGCAGATGGGGTCGTTGTCGTATCAGGTACTACAGATATGTACTCGAGGTAGTTTTAGGTTGTTTAGTATTATGTTTATATTTTTATATGAGGTATGTTTAGGGTTAGGGTTAGGGCTAGGGTTAGGGTACACTTCTGTAGTACAAGTTTGGTACACTTAGAGCCGTGTCAGGAGGCTCTGAGTATGGAATCGTTTACCAACTTGTAATAAACAGTTTCAGTCTGTGCCATACAATGTCTTTTGCTGTGTTACAGGGCCGTGTCAGAAGGCTCTGCGTATGGAATGAATCCTTTACCAGCTTGTAATAAACAGTTGCAGTCTGTGCCATAATGTGTCGTTTCGCTGTGTTACAGAGCCGTGCCAGGAAGCTCTGGGTATGGAATCCTCTGGCATCCCGGACAGCTCTATCACAGCCTCCTCTTCCGCATCCGAACAGAGGTCGCCAAAGTTTGCCAGGCTCAACCACCGACACGGTAAGCCTCGCTGCCGGTGGCGCCACCCGGTGTGCGCGGGCGGAACTAACGCGCCGCGCAGCGGTTCGCGTAACCGAACGCGCGTCGGAATCTATAGAACCGTTCTTGTGTTTTGCTGTTAGGTTTATATCTTTTTTCTTGCTAAGAGTTGGCTGATTGGTCGGGCTAGGCCCGCAGTGGTTTGAGTCATGGACCTCTTTGAGAATCTGGCGAAATCTACGAACCCCTCCCTAGTAAAATGCCCATAAGCACATAAACACACAATTCTGCATACAATGGGGTTCACGGACCCCCTGAAGCCCATCCACGGACCAAGGGAAAACCATCAAAAAATTCCAGGGGAACCACCATCCAAAGGGGTCCATGGACCACAGGTTAAGAACGCCTGGACTAGAGCGTAGGTAGAGATCTGTATCGTTACGTGTCAGACTTTTGATCCTACATCTTATGTACAGGAGACTGGACGCCGAAATATAGCGATGGGGAGCAGCACCTCCAGGTTGACCTGGGTTACATGGACCCGACGACTAAGACCTACCTGGTCACTGCCGTAGCCACGCAGGGCAGCACGCACCGCCAGGGCGGGTGGCTGTCGCAGTACCTGTTACTTTACAGCGTTAACGGCCGCGACTGGCGCACCTACACGGACAAACATGGCCGCCATGAGGTAGAGCGCGTCTGCTCGCGTTGCCATGGTGACGGCCCCCTACTCGTCAGCTTAGAATGTTTGTGAGGTAGACACGTGGTGTCCGGGGGGGGGGGGGGCTGGGTGTCACTCGATTTCTTCCTCGACCGTAAATAACGGGAATTCTCTTACGAAAATACCCCCGAATTCTCGTCGAAAGCCTTAGAATCAGGCCCGAATTATCGCTCAAGATTGAGGGAGTACGACAACCGGAAGCGATTAGGAGGTAGTGGGTGTGGAGGGGTTCGAGTTGCGTGCTGCTTAGCTCTAGTGCTATAGGACTTGTCGCCCCCTGGGGCAACAAGGGGCTATAGTGCTAGAGCTGCGTACGGCTCCAATCCTCTCTCTCATTCTCTTCTCTCTCCGTTTTCTCCCAAATCTCCTCTCTCACACCCGCTCTGCTTACTCATCATGTACATTCTTCTCGGCATGATCTTTCTCAACCAGCACGCCTCTCTCTTTTCTCGACTCTCCATTGTCTGCCTTCTCCACTTTAACACTCAACAGGCGGCGCACAACACAATGGACCTTCAAAACAATTCTCAACACTCACAGACACTATAACTATATAATGCACGAGATATATAAGAGCACCTACCGCCATCTCACTCGTCTGCTCATAGCATCACGAGCAGCCGTACAAATTGTTCCTAAACCCAAGGTGCCAACCATTATACTAATATCTATCAACTGCCATCATCCACACCCCTTACACATGCGCCGTACTGCAGCTCTAGTAACATAGCTGAAGAGGTCTATGTCCCCAGGGCTAGAACTAATCGAGGTTACCGCGACTACCCGTACGGTTCGAATATACACTCGCGCCGCAAACGGTCCTGCCGTACTCATCTAATATTCCGGACCGTACCTTCCGGCCTATCCCACGAAATATGAACTGTGAGCTGCCTGATGTATGATCCTACCGATCAGTACGCTACTGGCCCTAACCCTCAACTCCTAACACTTTTAACCCTAACTGTATAATATAAATAAGTTTACCAGGGTGAAGCGCTTCTCGGATACTAATCGGAACAGTACCCTGGTGTATCCTACGATTAAGTACGCACTGGGACATACGACTCTATGAGGCCATCATCACCTGCCTTACTATATATACG